AAGCATTTACATGCAAAGGAGTGAGTGCACTCAGTAAGAAGGAAAGAGGGAGGGTGGAGAATGCCTTTGCATGTAGGAAATCATATCCCCCACCCCCACCCCCCTTTGAGACCTGGGTAGGCTTGCTTCCTGGAGATGGAGAGGTTCCTGGGGCTGTCCAAATGACAAAGAGAAGAGAACTGGCAAGGAGGATTATACAGGGGGACCCCCGCCCCAGCTGGCTGGAGAGAAGGCTTTCTTCTCCTTGTTCCTTCATTTCAGCTGAAGCCTGAAGCCTTTTCCCACAGGGTGGGAAAACCTTGCAGCTCAATATTGGTCAAGCCCCTACTGAGCCAGGCAGGGCTGCAGTGACTTAGAAAGCAGAATACCAACTGGCCCTGCAGCTGTAAGGAAGCAGGTTTAGCAAAGACGAATTTTATTATTAAGAGAGGACATCTGCATGCTCTCCCCCCGCCCCCCATGTATTTTCATTATAATTCCACCAACTTACATCACCGGCAGATTCACCGCACTGTATTTGGGATTAATGTAGCCTGCTGGCTAATCCCTTGCACACACAGACTGTTTTATCCATGCCTCAGTACTGGCTAAGCTACCTGTTTGCTAAATTACAGTAATGGGGGCATTCTCTCCAGTAACAGTGACGGGTCTCCTGTAGCCCTTCCCTGCTCCCTTCTCTGCACCCAACACACGTCTGTGCCGAGGCGGGCCAGGGTTAGGGCTCAGTCCGGTCAGGGTGAGGTTCCGAAGGAAGGACAGTCAGCCTATGGTTGAGGTAATGGATCCTAGATTCAATCAGTCCACAAGCTCCTACTGCGCTCTTCCAAGGTGGGATCCAAAGAAACAGAGACAGTCTCTACTCTCCAGAAGCTCAGGTCTAATGGGGGAGTCAACATGAAAACAGCTATGCGCAAACAACGCGTGTGTCTGTGTACGCAGTGGGAGTGGTTTTTCTGGTTTGTCCTTCATTTCTGAAGGGGACCTATGACATCATAAGGGTGGCGTCTTGACTCGTGGGTGAATCGGATGTAAGTGAGGCAGAGCTGCACAGAGTCATCTTCCAGCTTCATCAAAGTCAGTCCAGTGGCAAGATGAAAGTCAGGATGACTGCCCACGATTTCAGAGCAAAGGCAATAGTATTAAGGGGAAAAGGCTTCTGGCAGAAGGTGGGATTTTCAGCTGAGACCTGAAGGAAGCCAGAAAGCAGCAGAAGTGCACTCCAGAACTGGGTGAGATGGAAAAAAGGCAGAGCTGGAGATGGGGGGGGTCTTGTTCGGGGGTGGGGAACCCGTGGCCTCGAGGCCACATGCGGCCTTCTAGGTCTTCAAGTGCAGCCCTCTGACTGAATCCAAATTTCATAGAACAAACCCCCTTAATAAAAGGATTTGTTCTGTAAAACTTGGACTCAGTCAAACGGCTGCACCCAAGAAATAAAACACAAGTAAATTGTAAAGGTAAGAAAGGGCCAAGTTATGAAGGAATTTAAAAGCCAAACAGGATTTTACGCCAGGGCTTGGAGGTAATAGAGAGCCATGGAAGTTTACTGAAAAGGGGACGGATTTGACATGGAGGATCACTTTGGCAGCTGAGTAAAGGATAGACTGGAGTGGGGATAGACTTCAGGCGGGGGAGACCAGCCAGAAGGTTACTGCTATAGTCTGGGCACAAGGTGATGAAAACTTGCACCAACATGGTGGCAGTGTCAGAAAAGAGAAGGAAGCACGTATATTCATGTAAAGAAAGAAGAAGCAACAGGACATAGTGACAGAATGGATACGGTGAGAGGGGAAGGGGGTCAGAGAGACAGTGATAAGGCGAGGATGCACCTAGGTTACGAGCCTGTGGGACTGGAGGATGGTCATACCCTCAAAAGTAATATAGAAATTAGGAAGAGGAGAGGGTTTTAGGAAAAGATAGCAAGTTTTGGACATGTTGAGCTTAAGATGTCTTTGGCACATCTAAGAGGTACAACAGGTAGCTGGAGTGAGTCTGGATATCAAGAGAGAGGTTAGGGCTAGACAACAGATCTAAGAATCATCTGCCCAAAGGTTGTATCCAGGGGAGCTGTCAAGACTGACAAATAAAGTAGTATAGAGGGAGCACAGCAGAGCAGAACAGGCCCAGAACTGAGTCCTGGGGAACACCAACAGTTACTGGGCACAATTTGGATGAAGACGCAGCAAAGGAGAATGAGGAGGAGCACTTCGGAGAGACAGAATGGGAACCACGAGAGAGCCAGAACCTGGAGAAGTACGAAGGAGAAGAGGGTGACCGACAGCATCATGGGCTGCAGAGAGGTCAAGAAGGATGAAGACTGAGACAAGGCCATTCGTTTGGGCAGATGAAAGATTACTAGTACCTTTGGGGAGCAGTTTTGGCTGGAGGATGAGGTTAAAAACCAGACTGCAGAAAGCGAGAGGTGGAAGTGGAGGAAGTGCTCAAGTATGAGAAGGCAGAGTGCGGTTGGGGTCAGCAGACCAATCTGCGGTCAGGGTTTGGGGCTCTGCCCGCAGCTGGAGTTGGAGGGGTGTCAACTATGTTTAAATTTCGGGACCAGTCTATGATTGGGATTAGGGGAAAGTGTGTGCCACGGACTGACAAACTGAAATGGCCCTCCTGAGATCACTCGTGATTATTACCAATAGGCTAATCCATGCTAAATGACATAATTAATTTAATGCCTAGGACACAGTGCCATAACCAAAGCATCACTAAAAAAAGAAAATTCCCAGAAAATTCTAGATGAGAAGCAATCAGTTTGAAAAACCCAAAGTTATCAGTGATCTGTCTTCACTGCTCATAGTATTTCTGTATTTCTGATCATTATCAATATGCCTGTCCCGTCTATGCCACAGCTTTCTGTGAAATCAAAAAAGTACCTTTGAATGGTGCTACAGATAGAGAACAGCATATGAAATGGCATCGGAGGTAGTCCTTTGTCCCTGCAACCGACTAAGAAGAAGCCACTGAAGGCTGAAGAAGGCCAAAGTGACCCCCTACAATCTGAATCTGATAGGTTAGAGAGTATTCCCAAACATCTCCAACGTCCCTTGATCCCTTGCTACAGTTACGTATCTAATCTATGCCTCTTTACATTTCCACATCTCAGGATGAGAAACTGTATTTCTCTAGCACTTGACAAAGGGCTCTCCTTCTACGTATCTTAGGAGGTGTGCAGTGCAAGGATGGCTCTCCCCCTGCCCTGAATGTCAGCAGCTCATGAGAGCAGGGATAGTTTCCTTCTCTGTACTCGTGTCCCCAGCGTCCAGCATGGTATCCAGCACACCACAGGTTGCTTAAAAAATGCCTGTTAGTTGATCAGATGATTATTCCTCCCATTTTATAGATGAGAGTCACAAAGTTTCAAGCACTTTCCTCTATATCACAGCACTTCTCCAGGACAATCAATTCTATAAGTTATGTGTGAGACAACAGCCTTAGTTTTACTTTTACAAGGGTACTCTAAATTTATTTATTTTAGGCTTCAATTTATAGTATATCAGGGTCTGAGGAATATACCCTAAATTATACATCTCCTCTCATGGGTGTAAGAGCCATGAAATGATATCTAACCCCTCCACAGCACAACCCTCTTCCTCCTCTCAAATTCTCTCCTCCCCACCGGGGCTCCCAAAGCAATCAACCCTAATAGCCCCAATGGCAAACACAGCTTTTTCTCTGCTGCCTTTTGTGGTTGGAACAAAGAAGATTAATCCTGGGAAAGAGAGCTGGGGATAAAGGAAGGCTCACCGTTATATCCAAAACGCAACGAATCAGTAGGAAGGGAAGGAAATAAGCATTTATACAGCACCTACTATGAGCCAGGCTCTGTGATGAATGCTTTACAAATATTATTTCATTAGATCTTCCTAAGAACCCCGTAAGGGATAGGTGCTGTCATTATCCGCATTTTACAGTTAGGGAAACTGAGACAGAGTAATTGGCTCTGGGTCACACAGCCAGAAGGTCTTTGAGGCTAGATCTGAACTCGGGTCTTCCTGACTTCAGGCCCAGTGCTCTATCCACTGCACCACCAGCTACCCCTCAGAAGGAATAGTAGCAAAGACGGGTTGGGATTAAGACAGAACTGCACAGGAGGAATCCCACCGAGCCGGCACAGGACAGGGGCAGGCTCATGGTGAAGGCAAGAGTGCCACGTTCACGGGGCCCTGTTTCCAACATGGCTTTCTGTCACAACTGCTTCAGTGGTGCTGTGTTATCTGTGTTGTTACATCACTACACGATGAATCCAGGACATGACCTGAAGTGGCTGCTGTAAACTTGTCTGAGCACAGACTTTCCAAAGAAGGTGGCTCTACTACTGACTCTGGACAAATCACATCGTCTACAACATGAGGTGAAGGTACAGATCCCGTGAACTTAACACAACTCCTGACACCCGTCGGCACGTGTGCTTTCAATGCTTCCTAAGCTTTTTCATACCTCTTTACTCCTCTGATTTGTTCATGACGTGACCTTTTATAGCTAAGTCACACACTCATTTGGAGCTTATCTTGGTATATGGTGTGAGATGCTGGTCTGAACCTAATTTCTGCCAGATTGAATGCTTCAAAGTTTTTCTGGTACTTTTTTGTCAAATGGGGAGTCCTTACCCCAGGAGCCAGAGTTTTTGTTGGCTTCTAGGCTTGTTTACTTCTGTATGAAGTGTACCTGATCTATTTCCCTGATTGACTTCTCTATTCTTCAACCAGTAACCAGACCCTTTGGGTGTGGATCTCTTTATATAACACATTGCTATGAAAGTGCTCTCAAAGTCTGGCACATTTGTGCATTGGCCCTGTCTCCTAGCTAGATCCAAACCCTCTAGAAGCTAGGAGACCGTGTTCTCTATGCCCTCCTTCTCCCTCAGAGCACCCAGCAAAGGCCCTACATGCAGCTGAATGGGAGGTGGTGTTGGAAATCTGTGTGTGTTTGTGTAGCCTCTGACTGGGAAGAAAAACAAACAGAGCCTGTGCAGTTTTGCCAGGGCTCCCACTCACTTGAAGTTTTCTGGGTGCTCGGTGACTGCTATGTTGATGATGTCCAGGGCATGCTGGTAGTGCTTCTGGGCTGAAAAGAGGAGAGCCAGTAGGTGTAGGGAGTGGACATCATCTCTGCGTACTTCCAGAGCTTCTTGCAGATGCTCTATGGCATCAGAGATCTGCAGGGGGAAAAAAAAAAGCCACTCACTCTGTGACTTTCTCCCCCATGCCTCTTCCTTCTGGCACTCAGACCTCACTGGCTTTCCCCCAGAGGGCACAACTCCCCAGGACACACACACAGGCATTCTGGGCCACAAAGGGAATGCAGGTGAGGTCATCAGGGACAATGAATGACAGCTCCAAGTTTTGTTTAATGAAGTTCCTTGAGGAAAGAGATCGCATTTATGTGCTCATCCCCTCCGCCCAAGTATATGGCGCAGTGCTATATACAACAGCAGGTGCTTGGTAAATAGCTGATAGAGGAATGAGATGAGAAAGCTACATTCCTGAAGCCAAATGGAGGAAGTGGTGGTCGTGCTCTTCTAGCCCTACTCAGGAAGATGGGGAGCATCTCCTGCTCAACCAGCTGCTGAACAAGAACCCTGTCTACCCAACAAATGGCCACGCAGCCTTTGCTTGAAGACCTCCAGTCAGGGGGACAACCTACCTCCCAAGGCAGCCCACAGGTTTTACACGGCACTAATGGCTAGAGAGGTTTTTCTAACATTAAACCAAAATCTGCCTCACCACAAGTTTCACTGAGTGCTAGTTCTTTGCTCTTCTAAGGCTAAGCAGAACTATTCCAATCTCTCCTCCAGGGGAGCTCTTCAAATCCCCGAAGATGGCCATAAGGCCCCCTCCATCTTCTATTCTCCAGCTCAGACACCCCATGTTTCTTGAACTGACCCCTCATGGTATGATTTCAAAGCAACGGGGCCATACAATGTGGAGGACACTGGACTTGGAGCCAGGGAGATTCTTCCTCAGACACTTTTACTGGCTGTGACCCTGGGCAAGTCACTTAACCTTTCTCAGCCTCAGTCTGTTCAGCTGTGTTTCCAGTCTTTCACCTTTCTTGTGTCATGGACCCTAAACATCAGTCCCTTCAAGCCTATGGGCCCCTGCTTTGAAGAATGTCATTAAATGCATAAATTAAAACATAACAGATTACAAAGGAAACCAATTATACTGAAATGCAGTTATCAGTTAGGAGGTACATCAAGAGATCATTTAGTACATGGAGTTCTTAACCTGGGGTCTCTGAACTGGTTTTAAAAAAATATATATTTTGTTAACTGCCCCATGTGAGGAGCAATCCCCTTTCTCTACCCTTCTTTCTCTTCCACTTAACGTGGTAGATTGGGCTTCATATTGGCATCAAGACAGGGACTTAGGGTGCTGTCTTAAACCATGGTCAGTCCTGTACTTACATCCTTTGATGCTACTTGCTTTTAAAGCTTTGGGTCCTGTTGTACGGGAGATCAATGACTCCTTCAGGCTGACATCTTTCATTTTACCTCACATTTGGCCTCCAAATGTATTTTCCTTCTTCAGATAATTTTAAATGCCACTAGAAACAAACTTGCTTTGGTGGGTGTTTTCACCATCTCTCCTGTGTCTTGTGCTTTGATCTGGGGGACATTTGGTGGATATTAGGAGTGACACTCACTTGGGCTCCAGTTCCCTTCCCTGTCCTGAGTAACTTGATTCTAGAGCTAGAGAACGATGGATGAAAGTTGCAAAAACACAAAAAGAGACTTATTTAGGCTGCAAAAGATGCCTTCGTGGAAGGGACTTCCGCGACACTGGCCTTGGGGGGTGGGTAGGATTGGGAGAAGAGCGCTCCAAGGAGGGATAGTGGCATGATCAAAGATGCAAAGATGGGGAATGAGCATGACATGAAAGGTCAGTAAAAAACTGGCATACCGAGGTGGAAGGCACATTCTGGGAAGCAGTGAATGTAGTTGGATAGTTGGGAGGGTCCTTAAACTTAGAGAGGAATCAGGCCTAGGCACAACAGGCAACAGGCAGATACTGTAGGTTAATGAAGAGCAAACCTAATGAACATAATGATCTAGGAAGATTAGTCTGGTGACTGGGGGAAGCTAGGTGGCACAGTAGATGAAACACTGGGCCTGGAGTCAGGAAGACTCATCTTTGTGAGTTCAAATCTCACCTCAAGACACTTACTAGTTGTGTGACCCTGGGCAAGTCACTTAGCTCCATTTGTTTCAGTTTCCTCATTTGTAAAACGAGCTGGAGAAGGAAATGGCAAACCAGTCTAGTACCTGTGCCAAGAAAACCCCAAATGAGGTCATGAAGACTGAAAATGACTGAACAACAGTCTGGTGATAAGATACAGGATGGGTTAGAGCAAGGAAGAAATTCAAAACTGGAAATGATAGTTAAATCTTTATTTCTAACCTTTACTGAATCATGGAACTCAGAATTCTCAGAGTTGGCAGACTACTTGTAGTCGACAAGGATGCCCTCTAGTACCTACCTGACAACTAGCCTTCAACTGAAGATCACCAAGTGAGGAAGTACCTACTCCATCTCCAGAATCTGCCCTTTCACTCTGGGATGGCTTAATTAGCAAGGTTTTCCTTACATCAAGCTTAAATATGAGCCTCTGCAATTTCTACCCACTATTCCTAGGTCTGCCCTCTGGGGCCAAGAAAAACATGTCTGATCCCTTTTGCACAAAATAGCCCTTCGCATACTTGAAAACAGCTATGACATTCCTTTCTGCAGTCTTATCTTCTCCAGGCTAAACTTCCCAGCTCCTTCCAGAAATGTCCACGTGGCACTAATTTTTAGTCCTTGCCCTGTGTGCTCTCCCCAGCTGATCAAGGTTCCCTCTAAATGGTGATGCCTGCAACTAACTCTACATGATACTCCACAAGTGGTCTGACCTAGGCAGGGTGGGATATGACGCCTTCTGGACAGCCTGCCCCCGAAACGGCATCTGCTTTTATGGCTATTAGTGGGCAGCAGTGTGATATGAGAGCTTGCAGTCCACTGAAAAACCCACATCTTCAGAACAAGTCTTGTCTAGACACTCTACCCTAGGCATTCTGTTCTGGCTACAGGAACTCCCAACCAGGTTCCCAGGGGGGGCACCCCAAGTTTTAACATCCACCTGCCCCTGTTAATCCTACAAACTACTTAACATGAGCCTCACATCCATCACCCACACATTTAGAATGAGCTAGAGGAAGAAATGGCAAAAAATTCCAGTGTCTTTACCAAGAAAATCCCAAATGGGGTCATGGAGAGTTGGATATGACTGAAACAACTCAAAAACAACAGTGAAAAGTTAATCACAGGCAATTAGTGCCTGTCATCTAGTCTCTGGGCCTTTGTACTAGTTATCTCCTATCCCCAGAATCCTCTCCTTCCTCAGCTCTCCTTCTAATAATCCTTGGCCTCCGTCAAGACTCTGCTTTACATGCTACTTTTGGTAGGCGGTCATTCCTAGGCCCCTCCCAACCGCTAGAGCTTTCCTAAGATTGTCTTCCCTTTCGCTTGGTATGTAAACTTATATTTGACTTAGTTACATATTTTCTTCCCCAACAGAATGTAAGCTCCTTAAGGACAGGACCTGTTTTTTATATTTCTTTGCATACCCAGAACTTAGCGCAATGCCTGCAATATATGTTGGGGCAGCTAGGTGGCTTAGTGGATAGAGTATTAGGACTGGAGTCAGGAAGACTGAGTTCAAAGCTGGCCTCAGACACTTGCTAGCTGTGTGACCCTGAGCAAGTCCCTTAAACCTGTTTGCCTCAGTTTCTTCAACTATAAAATGAACTGCAGAAGGAAATGGCAAACCTCTCCAGTATCTCTGCCAAGAAAACCCCAATGGGGTGATGAAGAATAGGACTCAACTGAAATGAGTGAACCAGAGCAACAGTAAATATTGATTGCTTCAAGAGGGAGCCCTACAGGACATTCCTTTATTATTTTAAGGGATTGATGTAAGGAAATTGTCTCTTAGGTTTTTTTGGAAGGTGGGGCAGTTGTGGAGGGTCTCTTCGCTGCTATAGCTTGCTAGCTAGGGTCGGCAGAGTACAGAGTGCTAGCTAAGTACTCCTGGCACAGTTCATGGTCCTCCATCACATAAGCTCTACATTCCCAGTGGAACTAGAAAGTAAATTTCCATGAACAACAAAATGAAAAATGAATCAGCAGCTGCTGACGTAAACCTCTTTGAAGGGAACAAGAGACCAAATTCTATATTGACAGATGTGGCAGTTTATTAAACTAATTAGCGATGTATCTTCAGAAATATGCTCCAGCAAAACAGGCCTTCTCACTGTCCCCCAAGCGCTCCTTCTCCACAGCGCTGCATCTCTGCTCATTTTGCCTAGAATGTCCTCCTTTCAACTCCTCTCCTTATCTAAATCCTAGGCATGCTTCAAGGTCCAGTTCTCATCTCCACCATGAAACTGTCCCTGACCATTCAGCTCACACTGCTTTCTCTCTTCTTTAAATTCCAAGCCAACATTTCCCTTGCTCTTTTTTTTTTTTTGCTTTTAGGCAATTGGGGTTAAATGACTTGCCCAGGGTCACACAGCTAGTAAGTGTCAAGTGTTTGGTCTGAGGCCGGATTTGAACTCAGGTCCTCCTGACTTCAGGGCTGGTGCTCTATCCACTGCACCACCTAGCTGCCCCCATTTCCCTTGCTCTTATCACTCACTTGGTACATATTATTCTATCCCATTAGAATCAGAGAATTTTATAACCTATCTATATAGTGCCTCTTAAAGTCTGCAAAGCATTGCATCCTGTCCAATGCTCCCATTTTACAGATGATAAAGCTAAAGTTTAGAATGATTAAGTGACTTGGTAAGTGTCACATAGTTGGTGGCAGTCTAATGCTTCATATCAGAGCTGGCCTTAGGAAACAGGCAGTTTGCCTAAATGGTGTGACTTCAAGAATGTTAAGGAAGGCTGCCTTTTGGTATTATTCTTACAATGTATATATTAATGCATATATGTTTTACCTTCCTGTCTAGACTATATATGCCATACTGCTCCCTGTGATGAACTATATATTCCAGTCAAACTATACTAACATAGCCCAAATCTTCACTCTAGTGCAGGGGCGGGGAACCTTCAGCCTTGAGGCCACATGTGAAGCCCTTTAGGTCCCTGGGGGTGGCCCTTTGACTGACTC